TTGTGTCCTGGCTTTTTAGTTTGTCTAAGATAAATTTCAGGGTTGTGTCAGCAGTTATCAAACTCGACTCTCTTCTACAGAGAGCTTTTACGGCCAGTTTATAGGTTAGGTTTCGTGGAAAAGGCGCGAGGCTGCAGCTCTCCATAGGCTTAATTAATAAACTGAGATCGTTCCGTCACGTGATTCATTGACGTCACAACCGACCGTAAATTAGAATTATGCACCAGGACTAGGAGAGGAGTTACTTATTTTATTTAGCGCGAAGACACTTTATTTAGCGAGAGTGGAAAGTCAACTGGCAATTAGATCAGCAGAGGTGAAAAGACAGGCAGTGCGGTGTAGAGAGGGGGTATAGCATGTGACACACTGAACGGCAACGTCGCCCTCGCCGCCGAGCGATAGCACACATAGAAACGCGGCAACACCAATAACGTAGACTTTTGCACCATTATTTAGAAAGTTAATTGAGTATTGCGGATCCGCAGCGCTGGATCCAGCACCTGATGCTGGATCCAGCAGGTCGAAGAATGCGCTGGATCCAGCTGGATTGCTGGATGAGGGATCCAGCAATTGCAATCCCTAGCAGTATACTTAATGTTTGAAAAATCTTTAAGTTTGAGATGATATTGGCATTTGAGAAGTGCATAGAAGCAATGAAGTCTGAGAGGAAAGTTGTAATAATGATGATTGAGATGAAAAAGAAACTTATTGCAAAGCATGAAAGTGGTAAACTTTTGGCAGGCCAGGCAGCCATGCTTAAGATGCCAAAGCTGACAGTGTGCAACAATGCAGTTTCCATTTTATTATACAGTATTTATGCATTTTATTTATTGCTTCACGTTTTAATCTATTATTTGGGAATTTAATTCTGTTATTGACAAGACTATGTCTTGTTTATAAAATTGCACTGCCTGCTGTGTTACCAGCTTAGAGGTATGAAGGAGTACATGTCAGGAGTTGCAATTTTGCACAGATTATTAGGTGCCCAAACCATGCACGCATAAAAAAAAAACCAGACTTATAGGTACTCAGAGGACTGAGAACTGAGTCAAAATAAAATACAAAATGGTGACTCTCTCTACAAACAGGCAAACTGAAGTCAGGTGGTAAGAGTACCACCCACAGTTGTTCTAGGAAGTGGACTCTGACCCTAGGACTGAACATGTAGTATTTTCTTTGTTTAAATAAAATTTGTAATCTAATTTTGTAAATTTGGGAGTGCTTCAAATATAACATTAAAACAGGATTTTATGTTGTTACAAGTAGGTTTTTTAACATTATCTAGTATAGTAAAATCATGGAACCGATAAAAATTTGATGTTATATTAGGATTGTCATTACATCTGAGGACATTATAATTGAGTTAAACTGTATATTGTTTGTGTAAAATAGAAAAATAGTTTTGGATGATACAATAGCCAAAATTATTATTTTAAAAAACAGTAAATTTTTGTTACACATTGGAAAAAATTCAATGCGGGCCAACATGCAACGGAGAAAAACTTTGAAATTGGATAGGTTAATTTCATTGAAAATGCATTGTGGACAACCTTGTAGTCATGGCTGGTGAAGTTTGAACAATTGCACCCAAAAGCAGCAATACCAAAGAAGATTGGAGAATGAGAACGAGACCCACTTTGGGCGTCAAAGTGGTTCTGCTTAGTAGTGAGTCTCAGAAATAGTCTTGTCCTACATATGGTTTAGCCGTTTTACTTGTTTTTTACCTTAAATTATGGGTATTTACTGTTTAAGTTTATCAAAATGAGTATTGTTTAGGGTCTGGGAATAAATTTACTCTCCTGTATTTCTAAAAAAAATTTTAAAATAGTGGAGGAAATTTAATTGAACTTCAAACAGTTCAGAGTTCAAATGGCCTGCTGGAATGAATTAAATCTGAAGTACAAGGAACCACAGAACTTGGGCTAGGTTATGTATAAATGAAACAGAAAAATGAATATTTTAATGCTTGAGATTGCAACTTCTAAACTGCATACAGGTAATTGTCTACTTTCAACAGTTGTCCCAAAGGCAGAGTATATAATAAGGTGGATTAGATGAATGTTTTATTTTCAATCTTGCAATTTTCTGCAGGGTATACGTCATCATGAGTTTCCATAAAAAATGATGGTAAAATTTATTTTCTGTCATATTTTAACAATTTAAGATCAAATTACTTATCAATACTAATACTCTGCAGATTTTAATTTAACTTACCATATCATATGACTATGGCAAAAATCTAATGCAGAAATAATTTGGCGAAAAAATCTTCTAGCTTCTTTAGGAGTCAATCGTCCTTTTTTCACTAAATAATCAAATAATTCTCCTCCAGACACGTGTTCTAATATTAAATATCTAAAATTAAAAAATAAATTCAAAAATTGGTTAAAATACATTTTCAGTTAAGATTATGTAACCAAAATAACATATGTAATACTATTAATTTATAACTTACAAATATTTTTTATTTTCATATACATCATAAAGACCTAATACATGAGGATGTTCTATAAGTTTCATAATGGCAATTTCTCTTTCCACCTATCAGACAAATAATATTTATATAAGTATAAAATGTAAAAATCAAATGTTTGTTTTTTATATAGTAAACTTTTTATTTGAAAGAAAATAAAATCCTTTGTGAAGAAAACTTGACAATTAACAAACAAAACTCAAATCGTAAATCACATGGTTCCTAAAAATATATCTAAAGTTGTAAACCATACATCAGCATTTACAGAAAATACAAAGACCCAAATAAAAAAAAATATGTTAGGTTAGTCATAATTAAAAAACATTAATCTGCTTAAGAAACTGTTTAATACATTACAAATACATTCATCCAGTTTAATTACTTACTTAATACGAAAAACAGCAATAATGTAGATATTCATTAACTGCATTTTTGGAGTTTATATCCTTATTTCTCATTGTTCCTAGGACTAAGTTCCTATATCTCAGTTACTGTGAGAATAATGTCCCTGTCAAAAATCACAATCCCAAAAAATAATCAGTTTACATTGTGTTCATAGTTTTTTGTACGTGTGTGATTTTTGACAATTTTATTAAACTTTTTGATATTTACTGTAAAGAATAATGTCTATGAGAATAATTTGTAAAAACCTGAAAACATCAGTAATAATAAGACAAGAAAACTTTGGAAAAGTAAAGGAAAAAAACTGAAACTATATTACATGAAAGAGCACTTGAATACATACATCATACTTCATATAAACTAGCATAATTTCTTTTTGTTCTTTCAGTGGAGTTGTACAATGTGTGTAACTGTCTGAAGCAGTTAATGAAAGGAAAGTACACTTCATGACAACATTTAACTTTATAATGTAATTTCACTAGCCATAACACGCTAATGAAATTACGTTATGCAATTAAGTTATCTAGTTATGAATCTCTTATAACAGAAATATTCTCAGAAGTTAATCAAACAGCCTTATAAACAAATAAAATATTTCAATTCATCCTTCATGCCTAATATAGTAATATATTACTCAGTGTGATAACTCATGGTATTACTCCAAAGAACTGTTTTTCTACCAGACTATACAGAATCATTACTAATATTTTAATAAAAACTATTGTTAATTGTAAATCATAATTCATATATATTAATGAATAATAAGGCAATAACAAACAACTAGCAAAAGTAAAATTACACCTTACAATTACAATATCATATGCATAGCCTACATACATTTAAATTTATTTATTTTTGTAACTATTATATTCATAAAAAGTAAAATATTTTTGTATTTATAATTATGATTCGGTAATAATGAAAGCTCTGATTGGAATGCATTAAAAAATCAAGAAGTAAATTAGCATAGAGTTTTGGCATTATTGATATATGCAAGTTGGGCTTACAAAAAAAAATGTGTTTTGTTCTTACAATATAACTGAACTACAGGGATATTTTAAAAAAAATAAATCTCTGTCATTTTGTTGCATCACCCAGTGCAATGTGCATCCCAAGTGATACCACAAAGTAAATACTATAAGGTGCTTTTATTTTTCCACACAGGTCATAAATCAAGTATTCACATATATAAATGTGAATACTTGATTTATGAATACATATATACTATATGTGAATTGTGAACTGATATACTTATCAGTGTATCAGTGCTTAACCTCCTAGCAAAGAAATTAATACAGAACAGACTATGGATAGGAATACAAATTGGACTGTTCTTTTATACATTGTTAATGTATAAAAGTGTGGTATCACTTGGGATGCACATTGCACTGGGTGATGCAACAAAATGACAGAGATTTATTTTTTTTTTAAATATCCCTGTAGTTCAGTTATATTATGATTAATGGATTATTCTTTTATACATTGTTAATGTATAAAAGAACAATCCATTAATCAGATTATTTCCAAGTCTCTCTAGTACAGTACATAAAAGAATCAAATAAACAAAATTATTGCATTATAAAAAAGCAGTATGTAATGCATAATACTATATTTTCTCAATTCTGAAGTGAACTATTTTTTTTTTATCATTTCTTACACAAGAGATGTAGTGTTGCAGCTGATAACATCTTACATTCACAGTTAAAAAAAAATTAACAGTTAAAAAGTTAAATTTAAAAACTCACGCCAAGCTTTGTATAGTTTCTGGATACAAATTCACTGAGTTCAGCATTAATAAAGTTCCTTTAGTATTAACACAAGCACTTTCAACGAGTGTATAACCGTCGTCTTCAGGTGAAAAGAACAAATTTTAACAAAACAAACATGCAGGATGTTCCAAAGAAACAGAATATTTAAATTCAAACCAGGTGTCCAGAAATTCTGTTAAGAATGTGCAACTAGTTTTTCATATGTTTGAATCTTTATATTTTACGATGCTAGCGGCGCATGTGTGGAAATGCTACCGCATTGGTGATGCAATATTAGGCGCATTTTGTTTTTTAGACGCCGATACAAGGCAATCCACACCCCAGGTAGATCAAGGGTGGGAACATTGCACGCTTCTGAAGTAGCCATGAGAAGCGCTTCCCAGATGAACACCAGCCTTCGATTGTTGCAGCATTTAATTATTGCCATTATGGGCCATAACGGGTTGTAGCCTTGCTCGAGAACTTTTTTAGCGAGCTCTGTAGAACATCTTCCTTTGGCTACGTCATCCTTACGCTTAGCAAGGCGGGAGGCGAGCATTCTTGTTGTTGCTCCTATGTATCTTGTAATAGCTCCCGTTGCTGGATTTTCTAGGTATATCGTGTAAATCCCTGACTTTTCTAAAGTGGTTAACCTGTCCCGATTGTTGCAGATACACCTGCGTAGATTTGGTAGGGGTTATGGGTAGTATGAAATTATACCGCCGGAATATGCGGCTGATGCGTATAGAGGTTGGTCCAAGATACGCAGTGATGACTGGATCACGGATGCTTTTTCCTTTCTGTACAGCGTGGTACTTGGGTATAGGGACTCTTTTACCTTACAGAGCACATGTTTGTATTTGCCATCTGTGAATCCTGCAAGTGATACCGCTATGCTGATGATGTCTAATTCGATTTTTGTTGCTAGCTGCGTCGACGGAAGCAGTAATGCTCTTCTAATGAGTGCAGCAATGGCAGTATTGATGTACCACAACGATTGAAAAACATCTGCCGGGATAATATACGGTAACACATCAGATTTGGGATGAACAGCAAATTGCGGCCCCTCAACCGACTTTTGTATATGCAGTTCCAGGAACGCTATTGATTCCTCGTGCTCCCTCTCCCAAGTAAACTGATAGTAGGGTATATGCTTGCGAGTTGCTGCACAAATTTGATAAACTCCTCCTCTGTACTCTCCTATACTATTAGGATATCATCGACATAACATAAGTATAGAGACGGATAACTGATGGAAAGAGGGGAGTTGAAAATTCTACGCTCGATTTCTCTCATAATGAGCTCAGCCAAGACTGCAGATAGCAGGGAGCCCAACTCCTTGCTTCTGCAAGTAGATGCTCTTGTTGAAAAGGAAATAATTGTGCTCAGAGATGAATATCAGCGCATCACGTATGTCTAGCACTTGTTGTATACTAAAACCCTTTTTGATGATCAAGGAATTAGCAAGCATTACGACTTCAAAAACAAGTACAGATGGATATAAGGAACCACATCCAATTTGTAGAAAGTACAGGAATCTTCATGTGTACCCCTCATATTGGAAGCAATGGTGGACTTGGCAGCTATAGATGACGGGGTAACATATGGTGATTCTGGAAGAAGTTCACGCAAAAACTTTGCAAGCACCTTTTCAAGGAAATATGTAGGATGCGATCTCTTGTTTACCAGTGGGCGTAACGGCCAGTTTGGTTTATTCATTTTCGGTTGAAAGAATAGCTTAGGGCATGCTACATTGGTGGGAGGATCGAGGCACCCGGTTAGAGTCGAAGCTACTCCTGGTAAAGCTATTATTTTCTTTGTCCTTTGCAGTACTGTTGGTGTTGGATCGTCATTTATCATCTGTGATTGTGATAGGAACTCATTGGCTCTAAAGATGAAATCGTCCTCCTTGCACAGAACAAATTGTTCTGTGCAAAAAGTTCTCGAGCAAGGCTACAACCCGTTATGGCCCAGAACAGCAATAATTAAATGCTGCAGCAATCGAAGGCTGGTGTTCATCTGGGAAGTGCTTCTCATGGCTACTTCAGAAGCATGCAATGTTCCCACCCTTGATCTACCCGGGATGTGGATTGCCTTGTATCGGCGTCTAAAAAATGAAACGCGCCTAACATCGTATCGCCAATACGGTAGCATTTCCATGCATGCGCCGCTAGCATCGTAAAATATAAAGATTCAAACATATCAAAAACTAGTTACATGTTCTTAACAGAATTTCCAGACACATGGTTTGAACTTAAATATTCTGTTCCTTTGGAACATCCTGCACATTTGTTTTAAAATTTGTTCTTTTCACTTGAAGTCGACGGTTATACACTCGTTGAAAATGCTTGTGTTAATACTAAAGGAACTTTATTAACGCTGAACTCAGTGAATTTGTATCCAGAAACTAAATTAACAGTTATTGCAAGTAGACCATATGGTGCATTATGCACCATTAACATATGCTTTGGCTATACTGCTCAACAGTTATATCAGTTCAAATCAGCTTTGATGATAATGAGCATTTAATCTACTCTTTTTATCATTAAAATTTTTAACACATCTATGATGACTAAATTTAAGTAACTTATCACATTGTTTTTTGGAAAACGTTCAAGTAGAAAACAAAAGACCAATGTTTGCTGTGCTACTATTTGATTAAAAATGCATTTTGGATTTTTACGTCCTTCTTCAGTTTAATCATGTTTGTAAAGCAAAGCTTTCATTTCTTTAGGTTTACACATTCCTTTGTTACAATATATTTTAAAAAAGGTATTACAAATTATATCTTTTTTACATTAGTAATATTATAAATTTACTCACATTTTAAGATTTAAGACTTTACATTTTATATTACAAAAATTAGTTTTAAAAATTAATACATGCTACCTAATAATACTGAAAAAATCATTATAATT